TTTGGTGAGAAATGATGATGCTGTTGCAACTGAGCACTTTGCATGTTGATCCTACTACCCATCGGTTGGGATGATGCCGTGGACATGCTAGTGTCTTCATTACTATTACTGGAGTCTGCGACCTGCGGGGGTGAAAACATCTGTACAGATCCCTGAGCAGCTGGAACTATTTCTGACGGCTCCATTGCTTCTTGAAATTGGTCGGACAGGAAAAGCTACTGACGCAATGCCTGCTTGCACCTTGCGGCGCACTCCGGCCAATGGGCCACACAACCCTCAAGAAATCCGACTGGCCTGAACAAATTGTTGGCCGGTGGCTTTCTGCGAAGCTTGATGTGAATGCCCGAGATCTTGTCCTGTACCTGGCGATCGATGATACTGTTGATGACCTCGTCACTGTCGTCAACGATGAATGCCGAGCGGAATCCAACTGACAGCAGATCCTGAAGGACTAGCACCTTCCCACCTTTCTGGGTCCTGGGATTGAAACTGGCCCTTTCAGAAGTTGTAACGATGAAGTCAAAAACTGATGAGATATCCGGAGTGCGATTGAACGCAGCAACCAATGCGTCTCGGCGTTCTTGGCTATGGAGGTAGGATAGGCAGATTGTCACAACGTGGATACCTTCGCGAAAGAAAGCGGCTTTCAGCTGTCTAATCGCTTCGAGGTTGTCGTGGCAAATACCTTCGTAATCCCACTCTGTGCGTCCGCAACGGGCTCTGTCAAGAACCTGGTGATAGTCGATTGCAACCACGCAACTGTCCCGAAAGTCAATGCCGTAGCGCGGCTCGTAGACAAAGGACAATCCTTGATCTTCCCAATTGCTGTTCACACACTTGAATACTCCTGTGGCAAGAGTCAAATCACAAATCACCGCAGCGAAGTGATGCCCGGAAGGCTCAGCGCGCCTCGGCGTACGTGAAGTGCTCTCTGGCCTCGACGCAGCTTTGCTGGTCGCCTGGAGCAATCTGTGCTGCACAGGCTCCGCAGATGACGATGCAGGCTCTTCGGCTCGGAGCGACTCGCGCTGCACAAGCCTAAGAGGAGCAGATCGATCCGCTACCTTCACAACCCGAAAAGACACCCGATGATTCTGGGGCTCCTCAGTCAGACGCTGTTGCTCGTTCCAAAAGGCCTGTTCGTAGAGCTGTAGCTGTTCCCAGTTGACTTTTGCACGCGCAAGCCTGTCCCAGGTGCTATCCAGCACAAATGGAGGTTCGTTTGATAAAACCCCCTCGGCCAATCCGTCACGTAGTACACCAAGTTTCTGTGACTTGCCTCTTCGTCCGGCTCGATGCCAACCGAAGAGGTTCCACAGTTCCGGTGCCACTCCCGGATGCTCGACGCCCTCACCCGCCGTAGCTATCGGTCGCAGCTCAAAAGCTACGGCTGATAACCAGACGAAATACGAATCAAGACAAATGAAGTGAAGAGTGTAACCAAAAGTGCAATGGCGGCACAGAAAGCTTCACTCGCGCGACCCTCCTTTTATCTTGAGCCAAATGTACAAGTCATCCAAGGCGAACTGAATGTTTGTTATCAGTGTCAACCCTGGAAACCTGATTCAAAGGGAAGTTCAAGCAAACATGAATTCCGGGGGCAAGGTTGAATTAGACATGCATGCACCACCTACCATCAGGAAAATGTGGATTCCAGCAGGGGGCATTCTTCTTTCTGACAGCGAAAAACAAACCCCGGGTTTTGACGACGCGGCTCATTTGGTTGCCCAACTTGGAAGCTAAAAGGAAAACGTCCCACTTTTTGGGGGGCCCAAACACATTGATCCAGAAGAATACATCTTGGACCCTTTCTGTGCCACTTCCCCTGATCGCGGACATCCAGAAGGGGAGCGAAAACCAATATAAGACATCCTCAAAACTGCCCTTGGGGCTTTCCCAACAACCCGGAGACGCGAACATTCCCTTTAGTCCCGCGCCGACACGAGGCCCATGGCCATGTTCGCTTGTCTCTCATCCAGACTCATGGCCTGCACAAGGCCATGGACAAAGGCATCACGTGGGTATGCGTCAAAATCAAACCACAAAAAAAAAAAAACGCAGGTTTTAGTCCTTGGGGTTCCATTTGAGATACCTACGTTTGACCCACAGCCACATCGATTCAGTCTTCACACTGGGCGTTTTGTTGGAGAGATGACCTGACAGGCTTCCTTTGGATGTCCAGCTGGAAATCGGATGCAGCTTTCATGCAGGTTCCAGGCTTCGGCTTCACGCTGGTCCGTGTCCAGCGTCCCTTTTGAAGGCTACGAGCTCCATGTGGGTCATCCCCCTGAGCTTTGCCAACTGTTGAGCCCCCGAGTTGCGGCCACTCTGACAATGTGATGGACTTAGCCCGCCCTGTCGAGTGGAACCAACCCTTCCAGCGGACAATGGCTCCACGAACGCCAAAGGGACTGGCTTCTTTCCAAATGACAGCTGCAAATTGGGGAATGCATTTGGGCACAAGTGGCCAAAAACCCCTAGCACCATGTCTATTTCCGACTCCGGGCAAGATGGATGGAAGCCGCCACGCAAAGGACCCCACATGAACCGAAGAGGTCACACGCGCACTTCGGACAATCTCCGCGGCCTGCCTCTGAAATGCGCAGGCACCAGGGCAAGGTGTGACAAGAGGTCGCTACGAGTCTGCGCGCAACTTGCGTCTGTCTTGTGCCCGGAGCGATGTCTGAGTTTGGATCTCTCCGGTCCTTCGCGAACTTCGAGCCGACGAAGCAGTGGGAACACTTTGCTAGCTGGCCAAGAGCATGTTGCTTGTTGTTGACATTCGCCGAAGATCAAAACATCTGTATGACATGTGCAAGCGCAGACATGCATGTATGTATGAATGTGTGCATGTATGTATGAATGTGTGCATGTATGTATGAATGTGTGCATGTATGTATGAATGTGTGCATGTATGTATGAATGTGTGCATGTATGCCTGTGCATGTATGCCTGTGCATGTATGCCTGTGCATGTATGCCTGTGCGCATGTGGTCATGTGTGCGTGTGTGCATGAATGCATGTATGCTGGTATGCATCTATGGGTCTATGAATATATATATATATATATGTATGTATGTATGTGTCTATGTATATATGATTCTATGTCTATGTACCGATGTATCTATGTATCAAAGTTTCTGTGCATATAGGTGTCTATTTATCTATGTATGTATCTATGTATTTATCTATGTATGTATCTATGTATGTATCTGTGTATGTATCTATGTATGTATCTATGTATGTATCTATGTATCTGTGGTTGTATCTAATGTATGTATATATTTATTCAACTATGTGTCTATGTATGTATGTTTGAATGTACGTGCGTGCGTACGTACGTACACACGTACGTATCTATGTATGTACGTACGTACGTATGCATATATTCATCTATGTATCTATGTGTGTATGCATGCACGCACTGCGTGCAAGTAATGCAATGCAATGCAATGCAATGTAATACAATGCAGTGCAGTTCAATGCAATGCAACGCAATGCAATGCAATGCAACGCAATGCAATGGAATGCAACAGAATGTATTACGGCTGCGGATGGACTACGGTTGGGTTTGGAATAAAGGGCCTAGACTTGCGCTAAGGTTTGCAATATAGGGTACAGACTTGGTTTTCAGATTGGTTTCGGCTTGGTTTGTGTCTGGTTATAGATTTCTTATGGGGTGTTCAGGGGGGTTCAGGCTGGTTTAAGGTGAGCGTTTCAGAGTTATGTTATTTGAGGGAGTTGCTATGGAAAAAAAGGTTGGCTGGGCGTTGGCTCCTCGGTTCAAGGAATGCCTGGTTTATTTTTGGCAGCTGGTGCAGATGCGCTTGCTTGGTCGCGTTGGAACCCGGGATCAAGTATTATGTATGTACATATTATACATCTATGTATATGTACGTGTGCATGTATATATATTTTACAGATATATATATATATATATATATATACATATATATATACATATATTTACATATATATATATATATGTATATATATGTATATATGTCGCCTTTTGGCAAATGAACCAGCATCACCCCCCGAGCCCAGACACCCTTTTTCTCAGGCGCTGAGAAAGGCCACGAGATCCTTGCAATCCTGCGAAACGGATCTGGCGCTCTCTCCTCTGAATCGCTTAACAGGTTTGCCTGGGGGAGGGTAGGGCATGTCCACCAACCACTTTTGAGGTGGCTCCCTCTGCAAGACCAGTCAGCCGAAATTCCAATGTCAAGGGGTCTTCCCCGTGAAAAAATAAACAGCCATGTGAGGGAGTCCAACCGCCACAAACATGGAGGTTTTTAGTTGGTCGTGCCGGAGAAGGCCAACCAACCAATGCTTTTCCTACATCACTTGCTGGTTCTCAGCAAGGATGGAGAAATGGAGTGACCCCTAAAAATCATCCCTTGCGGCTTCCTTTAAGGGAATTTCTAGGTTTTCTTTCCCAACAGCCTTGATCATTTCCTACTCAGCAGGTTCCATTGTTTAACCAACGCAAACTTAGAACCAGGGCTGCCTTTGGAGAACTGTCGTCTGTGTCAAAAAATAGGAACCTGAGTTTGACAACAAGGGCTCGGGTGTCCAAATCGAGAAAAGACCTGCATGACGTGGAACCCTTCGTGGTCGCCTGCATGACGTCTTTTGACTGGCACGGCATGAAGTAACCAAAATTGATCCCGAGCGAACTCCCGCATCACTGATTGCTTACCCATTGATTTTCTATGTCTCCTTCAGTGCGAAAACCCATTGCCGCATAAACAGCTAGGCGGTTTTGTTTCTCTACACAAAGGTCGCTGCTAGTTGAGAATCCTTATTTCCGCCTCAAACACCAAGGTTCTCCTTGCAACATGGAAGTGGGCAGGTTGCAAGCTCCAAGAGCGGTACTGTGCTACGCCGTGCCGCATGAGCCGCATGAACATCATCATGAACGGTACGCGGTCGGAATACATAGTGGTTTCATGAAAACCACCCGTACGAGAAATTTTAAGAACCCGTAACATGTTCACTCAAAAGGACGTCCAAAGGAGCCAAGAATGTGCCTCCTCGTGGTCGATCCCGCGAAAGGTCATGCAAGACCTAAGCTAACAGAACCAGGGTTTCAACCCAGCAGAACCTACGCGCCACAAAAAGGAACCGCAACCCAAATGATGCTGTCGGGTTCTCAAAAACAGTGCCCAATCTGCATTTGGGGTCCTTTTTCGATTTAAACCAACCCTCAAAAAGGGCTCCCTCAAAAGAAAGACATCCCCATAAAGGTCATGTGTGTGTGTGTCAAAAAAAACCGTTCAACCAAACCCTTTTGTCTTGGTCCAATCCAAAACCCTTTCAACGCACCCGTGGCATTCGATCGGCCTTCTTTTTGGGGCACCCCGCCGATCGCCCGGTCTCTGTGGCCTCGCGCAAAAGATCGTGAGAGGGGCACCTGTTTTTTTCTAGGGACCCTGTTTGATGGTGTCTTGAAGGGAAACCATTGAGGGGGGTTGTGTTGATGGGGTTTTAAAGGGGGTTTGTTGGGGTTTTGTTGGTGCCCTTTTGGGGTTTTGTTGGGGTTGTGTTGATGGGTGGTGTTCTTTTCTAAAAACCGTCCATATGAGAAAATGGATGAGAGGCTACCTTCAATCATGGAAGCCATGACAGACTGGGTTTGGAGAAGACCTTCATTTTGAGAACCCCCGATGGAACCGAACATATCTTGCTAACCAGTAAGCATGTTTGGAGAATGAAGTGTTGCAGAAACCAGCTACGGCAACAACCATGAAGAGGAAATCCGGCCACAAGTCCACCCAGAACTCGGGGGAAGTACTCATGCAAATGAAACGGAGTTCCCAACTTGAAATTGAGACACGGATTTTGCGAAACGAATCGACGAAATGTCAATCGTGAGCTCTAGGTCGGGAAAAAAAAACAAACTTCGGGACGCGTCGCAGTTTCATTTGCAAAGGCGAAGCCACAAACGAAACCGCGAGAACAATCATAGCAACAATCAACGCCGACTTGAAAACGTGTAAAGGACTTGTGTTTCCCACCCAACTGTGCTTTGACCATAACGCACTGCGTCTGCCTTGGTCCCCTCCCCCCAAAGGTCCGCGGTCACGAGAAAATACACCACTGGGGAGGGGTTCTCAAACGCAATCACCAAAATGGTTGGTTCAAGGGTCCCCCAAAAAAATGAAATTGGTGTCCTTTTGGCTTCTCTTTTACCAAAAGGCTCGGAGCCACGGCAAGGCCGTGTTCAAAGCCATCTCGGGCCCAGGCACGACCTCCGCGGGGCGCTGCAGCCAGAGCAACAGCGTCTCCCGTGTCCAGGTCACCTTGAACTCCTGCCGAGTGAGTTTTGGAGCCCTGGTACATGAAAAAGTAGAAAATCTCCCCTGGCTCTTAAATTTTGAGCCACACCCAAATATCGCTCCAAAAAGCACCAAGCAAGGCACCTCTACAAACTGGCCGCGTTTTACCATGATCAAAGTCACCCAAGTGGTCACGACCCCAAACAAAAGAGTCCCAGATGGGTATGGGTCAAAATTTCACCACCAGGGGACCGCAGGTTTTAGTCCTTGTTTCCATTCAACAGGGTTTCATTTCGGGAATTCCGATTTTTGACCCAAGGACCAATTCTTCGGCTGGTTCCGCCGGAGACTCGGTCCATCGGTCCTCCAAGCGCTGGTAGCTACCGCCCCACTGCTTCACCTGGCGGGGGTATTCCATGGGTCTGAGCCTGAGACCGTCGAACGCGTATCAGTTGCTCCTCCTAGACTCCTAGGGGTTAAACCGTGACACCCACGGATCGGCAACAGTTGCAATGCCTTCAGGGAACTACTTTTCCGGAGTTGAAGCCGCTTGCAAGCTCACAGGAACTGGGAGCCCCTTCCCACCACCCAAAACCTGTCCGACATGGACGACTTGTTTCCCTCTGAAGCCAAAACCCTCTATTTCCCCCCAACAAAAATAAAACAAACTGACACCGTTTTTCCTCTGAAGCAAAGACTCGTAAGTTCCCCCCAAAAAAAAATGTGAAAACTGCCACCTCTCGCGAAACTTCGAGACCCGAGCAATTCACGACCGACGAGCTCGACGAGCTCGGCGCGCTCGTGACTCGACGCGCGGCCTTCGTGCCCGAGAGGCTGTCCAGTACGCCGAACAAGTTGGGCCCTCGGACGCTGCCCCGCCCTGGCGACGCGGGCGAGGCGGGCGAGGCGGGCGAGGCGGGCGACTCTTTTCTCGGGGCAGTGGTGTTCGAAAACGATGAGGACGGCTTCCCGCAAGGGAGGCAACAAAGATATGGGCAAAGGAGAAGGATTCGTTTGGGCTGGCCTTGGTGTCGATTGAGTGGACAAAAGGAGCACACTCTCAAAAAAACGTCATGTGCCCAAAACACGCAAGAGGACGCCCTTTGGGTCTCGTCTGTTCTTCTAATCTCAGAAGCAAGCGTTGGTACTGCCCCAGGCAAAATGGCCATGTTGCCCCCTCGCTGAAACCTTTGAAGAGTGCAACTTGCTCTCTTCGATGAGCGATCCGCGCCTTCAGCCTTGAAGGTGTGGCATTGCGCACCTCAGTCGCCTACTCAGAACCAAAAAAAAACACGGAAAAGGCGGCGGCGCCCATTTGCTGTTCAAACTCTGCCTGGCGAACCTTCGGAGTTTGATTGTGAGAATTGCAAACTTTCGCCTTAAAACCCCACAATGGGCACCCTCAAAAAAGAAGACACACCCGTATAACCGCTTGGAGTTTTACGCCTCCAGGGCGTACATGACAATGTCGGACCACTGGGTTCGGTTTAGGGGTTCGGCGGCGGATGCTTCTTGAAAAAGGAATTCATGGCTTTATGTTTCTTGCTTGGGAGCTCGGGTTGAAGGTGTTGTTGTTGCTGCTGCTGCTGCTGCCGCCGCCGCCGCCCCTGCTGCTGCTGTTGTTGTTGCTGCTGCTGCCGCCGCCGCCGCTGCTGCAGTTGTTGTTGTTGCTGCTGCCGCCGCCGCCCCTGCTGCTGCTGCTGTTGTTGTTGCCGCCGCCGCCGCTGCTGCTGTTGTTGTTGTTGCTGCTGCTGCCGCCGCCGCCCCTGCTGCTGCTGTTGTTGTTGCTGCTGCTGCCGCCGCCGCCGCCGCTGCTGCTGCTGTTGTTGTTGTTGTTGCTGCTGCCGCCGCCGCCCCTGCTGCTGTTGTTCCCCACATCTTTGTGTGGGGTTCTTACTTTTTCCGCTCGTCGTCCGCGCGCCGCGTCTCCTCCTTCTCCCGCTCGTCTCCGTCTCACTCACTCACTCACTCACTCACTCACTCACTCACTCACTCACTCACTCTCACTCACTTACACTCACTCAACTCACACTCACTCACTCACACTCACTCACTCACACTCAGTCACTCACACTCACTCACACTCACTCACTCACACTCACTCACACTCACTCACTCACACTCACTCACACTCACTCACTCACTCACTCACACTCACTCAACTCACTCACTCACTCACTCACGCTCACTCACACTCACTCACTCACACTCACTCTCATTCACTCACTCTCATTCACTCACTCACTCACTCACTCGCTCACTCACTCACTCACACTCGCTGACTCACGGCAGCTGTCTAGAGGGACAGGATGTTGTCGCGCGCGCGGCGGGGGGCGTGCGAAATCGTGGCAGGCGCAGCACTTTGGCGATGCCGTTGCGAAATCGTGGCAGGCGCAGC